CACAAAGAGATCAGATACATCACCTAATTGATTCGTGTTTGTACAATCTGTCTGGAACTACTTTCTGTGCGGTGTACCTTGTACAAACCATTGTGTTGCACATTTTGATCCATGCCGTGATCAACGTTGCTCGATCTTAGCCGAACTATGAGCCAACAGCTTATCACAAGGACTATTTGTTTGGGTGAACACATTGCCAGGAGTGCTTAATTTCCCTGAAGCAATCAATGCTTTGGAAGACTGGATATCTCCAACCAATATCCTTTGCACTGCTGAAGAATATCGAGGAACGCAAGTGAAAACTTCAACCTGCCAACTTTGAGACACATGGGGGTGCTTTTCCTATGCGAAAATACAAATACAGGGCATGCGATTACGTTTGAATTCATCGTCTGGTTTGACAAACGGTTTAAATGTAAATGTTAGATCTACATTTTTATGTTTTACTCTGATTATATCCGTTGCCTACTATTATGTCGCACAGCACTATATCACAGGTGAACACCACAAGTGCAAAGAACACAAGATATAGTACAGTAACACTAGTAACACATGGGAACGAGAGAACAGCGGACTAGCACTCAGTCCATGAACGAATGATAGTTCCAGGAGCGGAAGCTATCTAGGCGAAATACAGAATCCACGGTCAACTATCGATCTTCCAGACCTCCGAAAACACGAGAGGGCGAGAGAAGGCAAGGCCTCAGCAGCACGGGTTTTTAATGGTGTTGAACACAAGTCACAATTCACAAGTCAATTTACAAAGTTTACTCTACTCAAAATAACATGGATCATTGCAAGAAGATTGTACCAATCAAGTACGTAGTGAGCAAAGTTCAACCGGTCATAGGCCAGGGATCAGACGGACGGACGGACGGACGGACAGAGTGAATACTGCCATTGGACGCAATATTATTGATTAATCTCGGCGAGATTATTATTCATTTGAGATAACCCGAATTAGGGTCGATTATGTTGCAAATTTGTTCCATTTTCCTTGCATTATTACCAAACATGTAGCCGACTTTTCTTGGGAGGAATAACCGTAATCTTCGTTCCAAAACCTCCTCAATACGTTGGTTACCTGTAGTGTTTGTAACGGGGCCTACTTGCAATCTTCTGGTTGATCGTCGTGGCCGACTGACATTCTTGTTGATATCAGGCATGCCTCCTCTGCTGGTATTTCAGTATTGTTGCTTGTGATGTCAAATGTTTCCAGAAGGATATCTGGGGGCGGTGTCTTTCGTTTGACCTCGTAAAGTTGGCGATATCTAGGGTGCAAATGGTTCTTGTAACGTAACCATCTGTCCTGCCCTATTTGCACTTCATTAAGAACTCTGCCAATTCGCCGCTTAATGATTCATTCTTCCCATGGGTCGCAATCTGAACGATAGTCCTTGGCATATACAACAACATCCGGTGCCCGCTTCCTTACTTCCATTGTATCTTCTTTTGATTTAACTGATGTCTTTTTGGGTAAGATAATATACCTGGTTGTGCACAATTTACGGCCCATTAGCGCTTCCGCAGGGGTTTTACCATTCGGTATTGATTCATTCGGAGTTGAACGATATGCAATGACGAACCGTTGCATAATTTCATCTATAGTTCCCTCCCCGAATCGTTCCACTTGACCGTTGAATTGTGGGTGATACGGTGGAGTCCGAATGTGTTGGATGTTCCACCGTTGGCAGAAATCCTGGAAGACAGCTAAAATGAGTTAAGTACCATTGTCCGAAACGATCACTTCTGGTAGGCTATGTTGGTCGAGAGGGCGGTGCAGATAAGAGCCGGTATTGCCAGCAGTGGGGGAGGAAATGGTGTAGATCTCAGGCCACTTGGAGTAAGCATCTACTAGGATGAGGTAGAAAATATCGTTTACTGGCCCTGCATAGTCAGTATGTGGTCGCTCCCATTGACCTGTAGGTACTGGCCACGCAATTGGTTGTTCTTTTGGTGGTAGTTTGGCCGCATGTTGGCACTGAGGATATTGCCGAACAATGGTTCCCATGTGTCTGTCCATTAAGGGCCAGCACATATAGCTGCGTGCGATTGCCTTTATCCTGCTCATGCCGGGGTGAGTTGCTGAGTACTCGTGAACGTAATAACGATGGAATAACAACAGGATTGGCTAACGTGAGGCATGAGTCAACCACTGATAGGGATACACGTCGCATGCACAACCGTTTCAGCTAGTCGCAGGTCACCGCAGGCAGTCAGCTATATATAGTCCATGAAATGGTGGATGGAACACTGGGGTCATTTTTCGAGGCATGCTTGATGTCCTATGCAGTTACGGGAGTTCCCCTGAAAGCTTTGTTCATTGTCCGACGTTTGTCAGCGTCGGACGTGATAGCTGTAATCATCATGTCTTCTGGGGTGGACGTCTGATGTTGTGGGATGCGTGATAATCGATCCGCTTGACTAAAGTCCTGCGTGTTGCGGATTACTGGTTGAACGTCAGGTAGCGGTTGCAACGAGGCTTGAGCACGGATGCATAGTCCGAGTGCGTCTTGGAAAACCTTCGGAAATTTCTCTGTCATTTGTTTTTCCATCGGTGTGTCGGAGAAAGAGAGCGTGTTACATTTTATGCTCAATGGTGAATCCCATAGATGGAGACGGCCGATCCGGTCGAGGCCCAACAGATTGAGTGGTGAATCAAAGAGATAACAGGTTCCCTCTTTGTGTATGTCAGCAAATGTAATAGTGCACTCAACCTGTGCCACTAGTTTGATATAACCGGGACAGGCAATGGTGACTGTGCGTGTGATTCGTGTCAGTGTAGGACGGCCGATGCAGGATCACAGTTGTCTCGAAATAATAGTAGTGTCTGAAGCTGTATCGAACTACAGCCGTGCCGGATATCCATTAACAGAGAGACGGATATATTTTCTAGGAGTAGCTTCATCCAAGTCGGAACGTGCGATTAAACTCAATGACTGACCCCGGGTTTAGCGGACTTGTTACGAGGTCTGATCTTTCGTTTGATTGATCGAGAGTTACCATGATTCTTCCAGTTGTTGATCTGCTGATCGGTTGCTGTTGCTGAGTATTATGGTTCTTTCGTAATAGACAAAATCGATGGAAGTACCATACCCCACAATACCCAAGCAGCACAAGGGGACGCTCGGTCATCCTTTGAGTGTCCCGTTGGGGACATCCCCTTAAAAATTCTGTGAATCCTCCTGATGCGGTGTCACAATCGTCAGTGGTGGCCAAGTGGTTAGGTCATCAACTTGTGATCTGGGTGTCCCGGGTTCAAACTGCTTCACCGCCGCCTGTCTTCCCTATACGTGTATTTTCCCCAGGCAGCCTGAGTATGGCCGCAGCCCCCTTCCTGAAAGTTGACTGTACATTTCTATATTCAATATATAGAAAATGGAAGTAAAAAGACAGTTATTTAATTTAGTATTTAATACATGAAATTGTTCAGAACAACCATTTGAATCCATGTATTTCATCAAAGAACGAAAATGTAGTCGAAAAATTGATGCTCCATTTTGCCATGTAACTATATATATATTTACATTGCGATGGCGGTCGATGAACATTAGAAAGAGTTGGGGGGCCTGGGTCTCTGTGGGAGCTTTCGGTGTGTGGACACAACAGGCAAAGTGGATGTGGATTTGTCTTGTTCCTGGATCATTGACGAGTCATGTTTTAGGTTCACAATTCGCTCACATTCATAGATAAAGCACTGCAACATTATATTTGGATTTTGATCGATTTTCGCCAACAACCTGGTACGAACGTCTTAGTATGGAGGAGCTCGAAGACCGNCAAGGCATCGGAACTGATCTTTTGTGAGCGAACTCAGGCAAAATCGTTCACATTCTCAATTGACCAGCCCACCTTATGTGGCAAAATGGTCAGCGTCTTTCTTGTATACTTGGAGACAATTGAACCGACCATTGAATAAGGAAGACGTTTGTCCAAATATCTTCCTAAGCGTTTTGACCGTATCAGTAAATGTCAATGGTCGTGGTTTCGCCGGAAGTATGTAATTAGAGTAACGGACATGTTCTTCCGGATCCAGTTTGCGTAACAGTAGACAAACTCGTGTCTTCATCGTAGGAGCTAAGCTCGACCGTGAATATATCCTCAAATCGTTTATACCGTAATTCGAAAGAGACACCAGCATCAGGATCGTATTCAAAATCTGATATATTGCAGACAACACCATCTGCTGTGTACGAATGAGAGGGAGTTGATAATCACGTACCAGCCAGACGAGCAGTCAGTAACTCCATCAGGCGTAACTGAGCTTGCATTAGGGCCCTGAAGTCATCTGCGTTGGGGTCATGCTTTCACAATGTGAGACACTTCCGTAATTGTAATTAAAATTATAATTTTACATAGTTTGATGGCAGACCAAAAGTAAAATTTGCAACAGTTTTCTTACCATTCGTACCGGCGCAATATCGTTTCTGCTAGTAAAGTGTACTGGTAAACGATTTACATTGCATAGTTTGACGTCACAACGAAAACAAATCAAAACCAGTTTTCCAAGTGGTTGTTTTATACCCCTAACAAGTCAGTCCACAGACACCTCATCAGGAGGCAGATGAATAACATACCGCATACCGATTGCCAATCGAAGCCGTACAACCGCATTTGGTCCGATGCCTATTGGACAGGGAGCCACATGAACGCACCAATCAAATTGCAGAAGAGTGAAATGGGATAACCTGCACACAAATGGGTCCCTGTTCCATTGTCCTACTCATATATTTATAAGCATGCAGACAGAAACGTGCAATGCGTGCCATTTTGGAATAACTAAACAACATTTATTGATATTTATGAAACATTTGAACTATGACATACGGGAACAACATGTCAACAACGGGGTTACGAGATCCATCTGAGGACATAGTAGATGTCCCATTGACCCAGACGGAAATCATTCTTTTCAATGTGATTCTCATACTCGGTGTCCTCTTCAACATTTACACAGCGATTGCACTCATTCAGACCAATGTGAACTCACTCCTGTCAAAACTACTCCTATACAATCAGAACATTATGGATGGCGCGTTCGGGGTCATGGCCATTGTAACAATCGATTCTCGCAATTTTGAAGAACACGGTACCGGTCAATCGATGAATCCATTTGTATGCTATATTTTGAAAAATTGGTTTCTTCTACGTGTTGTACGTCTCCTACTTGTTTGTAATGTTGTTTGTCAGTCGGCCGATCGATTTTGGGCCATTGTCTATCCGAAAACGTATCGTGCATATACAAAAGTCTACATCATCACATGTTACGTCTCGATTCCTGTGTATGCGGTGCTTGGTTCTATCACTCGCGTGTTCGCGGTAACCATGGTCAATGGAGAATGCGTCTCGAACCAGATCCTTTTGAGTGAAGAAGTTATGACAGCCGTCGAGAGTATTTTTCGCTACGGAATTCCCATGATATTTTTAATAGTACTGAATATTCTGGTAATCAGACGGTTGTATCAGTTACGTATTATTCGTTTGAAATCCACGCCAACTTCGACCCCTTCACAGGACAATTTGACCGACGATACGGAACGTGGGGAAAATTCGACCCGTGCAATCATTGCTGTTCAGATGGCGATATTTTTGAGCGCGATCGTTCTCATGGTTGAGATGACCTTGCTAGAATTGCTCAATATCACGTTGTCTGCGCTGAGTCTCCACGAGTGGGTGGATTTCGGGCCGGATTCACATCTACGCATGTACTATTATATCCTTTTAGGCTTTTTTGCTGGTATCAACCCATGTCTGCAAATTCTAACCATGACCACATTGAGAATTACCATGATAAAACAATGGCGTAAACTCACATCCAAATGCTGCACAAAGAGATCAAATACATCACTTAATTGATTCGTGTTTGTATAATCTGTCTGGAACTACTTTCTGTTCAATTTTTTTTGCAACTAGCGTTGCTGCACATTTTATTCTAGGACTTCATTATTCTTGGTCGGTGAGAAACTTGGATCAAATGTGCTGACACATTTCAAAGAGCCTATGTTTATGTGACTACAGTTTCGGCTATGCTTGTTTCCTCCATTGCTGGGAATGCTTTGAGAGATTGGTTTTATCCGACCTGGATCATTTGCACTACTGAAAAATAACCATGAACTTTACAAAAAACGTATTTGATTCACAATCAATCCTTCAGTCACACACACGAACACGTACATACAGTCCTGTATAGGAGTGAAACACAACATGTTGAAAGATTTCCCCAACATCTACTGCACGGAACCATTTGATTCTCGTCTCACTGTAGAGCCATTCTCGTTCCCTGTCAGCAAAGCACAAATGCAGAGATTGACCGAATTCGTACTGCAATCAGAATTCATCCAATTTTTCTGCTTAACATTTGGAGCCTCAGGCACTGGAGGGTGTATAGTATAATTGTGCACACAACATCAATACACCATTACCATCATAGTATTTATTCAACCCTCTACCTGTTTCGGTTTTTTTTGCCCTAAAAATTTAGAAATTATAGATTGTGACCACGGCGGGTGGTGCAAAATAGCCGCGTAAACAGCAAAAATATCTTTGAAATATGTTAAGGAAAATTACTGCTGGGCATTACACAGATAATGGAAATTCATTTTCTGAGTGCGATGTGCACCCTTATTCATCCATAAACACTGGAGTTAATCCTTTTTGGCATGGAGTTCACCAATTTGGAAACAAGATCACATTTGTCGGTTGTCACCGGTACATATCACACCCAAACCTCGACAACCACACTCGGAATAGTTCGCTTAGCTCTGTATTCACCACAAAGGAAACGTTTCCTATTCCATTCCATATTTGGGCTGTTAGGCATAACTAAAAAATAGATCCAGAAAATGATTTTTGGATGCTTCGTATCTTGTTCGTCAACTAACAGATGTGGTTCAGTAGTATAAACTGAACAGCAAAGAGACAGTCACTTCGTAGTGTCAAATTCGAACGACGTTCGGAGTGCATCGAAAAATCGATGCGTCGTGTGATATGTTTTATATAAGTTGTAATTGTGAAAACAGCGATGTCGGTGCAGGTCAAAATAAGCCGACGTTTCGGTTACTATGGGTAACCTTTATCAAGGCAATTTTACAATCGAATGAATCAGGAACAGTTTGCCAACTAAATTCTCACGCACTGTGTGTGTGTGCCTTTGTGTGTAAGACTGTGTCGGTGTCTGTGTGAATGTCACCGATCCGGATCGGGGCGTTGGGCACATCCGGTTATGCAATGTTTGTCTGTGAGATCGGGGTTATCTAAGGTCAAATCAGCGTTGGGACGAGTGCTGACAAGTGACGCTCACGCTGTCCAGATACTCGAACCCCCTGTCCCGTCGTTTCGGATTATACACCCAGGACGGGCACTAATTGCCAAAGCCACGGCGTATAGGCGCGCGGTGTTTGTTTGAAACCTCGTTGGAGAATTTTCGTGTTTTCATAGTCTATATGGTGTCCCTCGGCAATGGCATAAAGTACGATTGTCGAATCCCGTTCGAGTTTGTTGAACTGCGTGGCATTAATTGGTCTCGATTTCTCTTTTCTTTGATGTTCGGTGATTCTCATCCTCAGCTGTCTGCATGCTAATCCAATATATTCTGCTGGGCAATCCCTGCAACTGACTTTATAAATGCAGTTACTTTGGTCATGAATCTGAATTGGACCTTCGACTTTAGACAGCTTGTGTTGCAGTTTGCTACTTATCTGGAAGAAAACCCCGGATGTAATAATCACCGAGGCTATTTCTGACTGCCTCAGGTGTTCCCGATCTGTAGGGTGTACCAATGGATGTCAGCCATTCTGTTGATTCCTTGCTTTCCGTGGTTGTTTTAGGTTTGGTAAGCGCGTGTCATAGAAAACGCTGTGTGTAGTTGTTGTCCAGGAGTACCCGGTTTAAGCGTGGCATTTCATCTTTGCGTGTTACTTTCTCGTTGCAGAGGATTTCAACCCCGATTGCTAGTGACGAGATAAGTGCACGTTTCATGCATTGTGGATGTGTAGAATCGAAATTCACAAATCTGTCTGAGTGGGTCGGCTTTTAAAGAATGCTTGCTTGAAATGCACGATATTCACTGATTTTCCCGTGACAATCTAGGTAATCTAAGTCACTTTGTTTCCATTTATTCTCATTAGTCGCTTTTCATTGGCTAATTGCGTTCGCAATTCAAATTTAGGTATCCTTTCCCCAGCGGTGGTGTACAAAAATTCTTACCAATTCTCGTATACCTTCTTGGAAATTGGTTCGATGTAGCTGTTCACAACAAAAACCGCAGGTTATCATCCTTCTTCCTTCAATTCGATTGATTAACGGCATCTACACGGAGAGATTTTGTTGAGCATCAGATACACAGTGCATACATTTATGTTCAAGCACTTCCTCCATCCCGGGACTGAGAATACTTTGTGCTCTCCCTAATATATTGAGTCTACCTCGCATGTATGGCGAAACCGTTTGGATGTTCTATTCGATTTTGACATGATGACATTACAAACTGATTACTGAACGAGCCGCACACCTCAAGGTCAACTCTTACGTGCTTCCGAATATATTTTAACTTCCTTCATGCCTTTCCACTATTATGTGTTGTATAGCAGCCCTTTGATTGGCCGCTTCTTCCTTCCTGAAAAGTTATGTCTTCGTAAACTCCAATAAGGAAGTAAAAATGATAAAATGATGCACGATAAAAGAAATATATTTTACATCTCCAATTTTTTATGTTTTACTCTGATTATATCCGTTGCCTACTATTATGTCGCACAGCACTATATCACAGGTGAACACCACAAGTGCAAAGAACACAAGATATAGTACAGTAACACTAGTAACACATGGGAACGAGAGAACAGCGGACTAGCACTCAGTCCATGAACGAATGATAGTTCCAGGAGCGGAAGCTATCTAGGCGAAATACAGAATCCACGGTCAACTATCGATCTTCCAGACCTCCGAAAACACGAGAGGGCGAGAGAAGGCAAGGCCTCAGCAGCACGGGTTTTTAATGGTGTTGAACACAAGTCACAATTCACAAGTCAATTTACAAAGTTTACTCTACTCAAAATAACATGGATCATTGCAAGAAGATTGTACCAATCAAGTACGTAGTGAGCAAAGTTCAACCGGTCATAGGCCAGGGATCAGACGGACGGACGGACGGACGGACAGAGTGAATACTGCCATTGGACGCAATATTATTGATTAATCTCGGCGAGATTATTATTCATTTGAGATAACCCGAATTAGGGTCGATTATGTTGCAAATTTGTTCCATTTTTTCACAGAATAAGCTTATCTTGGGACAAATAACAATTATCTTCTTCCAACATTGTGGCGTGTACCGTCGAACAATTTTTTCAGTTTGTTTGTGATAAATGAATATTAGTTGCTCATAAATATTAACAAAGTATGACAAAGTATATTGGTTGTGATAACTAGATTGACCGGAATGGTCACCCACGTCAAACAGTAATCATTTATCACAAGGAATAAACTTTAATGCTGCTTGATCTCAGATATTTCGTTATTTTGAGCTGTAATTTTAAAACTATAACAAACTGCATCGTAACGGTCCATGTTACACGAATTCAAATGGTTATATAGGAGAAGTAGAAACGTCGCAGGATAAGATTAGTTCTAAATAAATGCTCTTTACTGATGGTAATCAGTATTCAAGCATGTTATTGGAAACTGATTTATATTCTTTATAATTTCATAGGAAGAATTCGTCGTATGCAAATAAATGTGAACTGAAGATATTAGAAGCAGTGTACAGTTGTTTCTAACTGGTAGGCTTTCATCAGTAAGGCAAATCTATTTACCCAAGGGGGTACAAACCCGGAACCTCACAGGTAAAATGCAAGCCTAATATCCACTCTGATGATACAGGATATAGCAACGCCCATTCTTTCGAGCTGGTTGGGGGCATCGCTTCTCGCTCATATCAGCACTAGACCCCAGGTTTATGACTCGGTTGAAAACAACAACTTTTTCTGATACACGCCCCTGTGTGATGAATAGCAGTCGGGGCGGACCCCATAGTGATGAAGATCTGCTGTTCAGTAATGGTGACCGGAAACTTAAGCCCCGGGACTTGGGTGGTGGTGGCGGGGCTCGAATCTCGGACCGTAGAGTCCCAAGCACGCCTGTGACAGCGACTAAACCATTGCGCCACCACCACCACCACTACGTGTTGCTTGAGAATAATTGCTGGTCTTGTCGAGCGAGTCCGGTCAATACCTGTACAATCGCTGTATATGGAGCAAGGCAGATCGCTGAGTTCCTGTTTGATTAGGCATAAAGCACCTCGACTAACCGACAGTACCAAAAAACGGCGAGAATATCTTACTGAATATGTTTACTTCGAAATCTCAGACCGACAGAGCACAAAGAAGACCGCTTATTTATTTAGAGGACGGAATAACTGTAATTGAATTCAACCTCACCTCCACAAAAAGAATCTTCTACATCCGAAATAATATCGTGCGAAATCAAAAGGACTTTTTTAACTGCACACTCAATTATATTTTTAGAGAAAAATATGTGAATCCATGATTGGCATTATCGGCGTGTTGAAAGTATTGTGTATTTTGGACAAAGTTCGGTGTTACAATTGCGGACGAGTGATGGCTGAGGATTGTGTTTGTTTGAAGTGAACAACATACGAATGAATGCATTCATTTCTCCTCATGGGTTTGAAAAATATCAGCAGAATGAGGAAGCGTTGGTTTATAAGGTCCGGGAAGCGTCTACCCCTCCCCCCGAATTCCCTGTTGCACCAGAAAAATTGGAGATTTTTACTGAAGTTTCACAAAACGATAAGCGTTGCAAACCATTTTCACACAATGAAACAAGTGCACATTGGAGGA